CTCACGCGACGTTAATCCGGCCCTGGTCACTTGTTGGTAATTCTTGCGGTTTTTAATGCCAATTGCCAAAGATCGAAAGAGAGCACCGATGACTCTCCCCGTCGGAGAATTACTGGCGCAGCCCAGTGAAATATGGTGGCCCAGGGCCAATTATACCTTTGGGGCCCCTGTAAACCACAATCATCCTCCCCTCCATCGACAGACTTTCCATCCCCTTGCAAATTTGTATTTGCCGGCCCTCCTTGAGCTGGGGTCGCGGAGAAAATTGCTCCCTTTGCCCCCCCCCCTTTCTCCCCATGCATGTGCGGCCCTGGCACTTTTGGCCCTGGTCGTTTTCAAGTAGTTTTTTTGTCCCGAAAAAGTAAAAGACTAAGAAATGGTGATTAAATTCTTTACTACAGTATGTTATTTAATAACGAGCCAGGGTTATGGTAGGGATTAGGGTTAAGTTACAAAGTTGGTGTTCGGAATAAGGTTAGTGTAAAGCTTTGTTACGTTTTGTCATTCTGAGGCCAGCACAACATGCATGCGTACGCGTCTACTATCGTCAAGAAACAATCGAGATCAATAATGTAAACCTTGCAGTTTTAACAGACATTAACCGAATTCATATTAGAGACGGGAAACTCGTATTAGACGGGAAACTTGTCTAATATGAATCCGGGAACAGACAAGTTTCACGTACAAACTTTCCCGTCTAACTTATCGGTCTAAGCGGATGGGAAAGTTAGACCGAAATCTAATCTAGACGGGAAACTCGTCTTAAATTTGAATTTATCCGTCCCAAAATCATATTCAGACGGGTTTTCACAGACGAGTTTCCCGTGTAAGACGAGTTTCGCATCCCTAATATCATTAATATGAATTCGGCTATTCAAATATAATGGCTAGCTGGTAAACTAAAAATAAAAACTACTTATATGGATAAACATTATAAGCGTTCATTTCATGTACACGCACACTAACAGCTGCTTAAATAATTAACTTACGTATTCGTAAACATTAGTCGATATAAAATGGTACATTAATATGGACAAAATGGAACAAAACCTCTGAAAACAGCAGTTGTAGTTCTAATTATTTTGGTAAATTTAGTAACAATTATGATCCCTACATAGCTCATCGATTTGTATACTAGCGCTTTTAAAAGTAGACAATACTGAACAGTGATATGAAGTTATCATGCAACTGACAACAAAATTATATCTCAAAATACCTGCATATGATGATATTTCACAAATATATCAGGATTTTTGGACCAATTTTAAACTTATCAAGGCAAAAAGTCTCCATTCAAGAATATATCTTCTTCTCAAAAGGTAAAATACTTAGAATACTTGATTAAATTGTTTACTTCGACGGTATGTAAATTAACAGCGTTTGACTTGCAAAACGTCAAAAATGGACGATTTCAACGCGCTGTCCTTTATCGCGTATTCATTTGCCAAAAGAAGTATTTACGTCAATTGAAAGCTTGTTTATTAAGGAGCCAACAAGTAGAAGCATGATCGATTTGGAGCTTTATCGCATGGTGAAAATCGGTTTTGTTAAGAGGGTATCGTAAATGAAGTAAGATAGTGTGCTCCAAAACTACGATTATTTCCATTCTTAAAAGTAATTCAGATTTCCTGTAACTCACGTGTACCCGGTCCTTTGAATAACCGAAAACAAGATCTTTAGGGTTTTAGATCGATTAGAAACGGTTGTCGTCGTGAAATTTGTCAATAAAATCAGCGCATATTTTCCCAGACAAAATGGCGATTTAGGGTGGTCGTGTTAAAACGGCATTTTCTCAAAGTTAAAAAAGCATTTGACCTAAAAAAATATATGGTGCATTTTCCGATATAATAAAATAAATCTGGGCAAAATCGATTTTTCAGTCGTGGCCACCTTATGTTTGATTTTTGTGGACATCCCCTCTTAAAGTGTTCTTTATAAAACTAAACTGCATTTAACTATTAAATGGCTTTATCGATAAACTTTGAGTTTGCAATAAAATGATTTCAAATTCTCGCTTGCAAATAATTTTGCTTTATTTTTTATTTAAAAAATTCAATATAATAAAAAAGGGAATCAATATTAAATATACACTGAAATTATATGCTGTCTTGTTTAGTTGTTTCATATACGCATTACGCAAACACTGGCGTCGGGTTTTTAAATAAAGCCATTATAAAATCAATATTTAAAACAAACTTACCTTTGTTAACGTCAGCCCCTTCTTTTAGCCGATTCTTTCGCCCTTTCTTTCTTGAAATTTACAAAATCTTGCAGAAATACGAGCAAAAATGAAATATATTTGCAAGAAATTTATCAATCATCAAATCAAGAAATGTTTGCTATTTCACTGTCGTCATGCAGTCATTATTATGCAAACTTTAAATTGAACCAATCAGTGTTCGCTATTCATGACAGCCACATATTTTTATATCAGTGAGGATGACCACCCACCGAAACATTGTTGGTGAGCCACGCCCACAATATTTGATGAACTTTAAGGCCCGTTTACACTTGCAATTTCTGCTGCGATTTTAGTGTGATTTTCTTCTGATGATGGATGTGAACGAGTGGATGAGTTATAAATGTTGAGATGAGGGTACATCAGTGGGACATATACTCAGAACATTCATAACTTATTCACTCGTTCATATCCATCAGAAGACGAAAATCGCAGTAAAAATTGCAAGTGTAAACGGGCCTTTAGACTTCGCTGAATGCTTTCGTTTCCTTGGGTGTAATTAGCCAGGGGGGGAATTAGTACCCTCACACGGCGCTTCGCGCCGTCGGCTCGGGATTAGTGAAAATTTGTTAGATGCGAAAATTTGTTAGATGCGCAATTATTAATAAATTGATATAAAGCAAAGTTATGTAATTGTTAAATCTTGTCAATATAAATATGTGTCAAGAAGGATCAATTAGTTTCTAAAAAGACACACTTATGTTTTTGGAAGGAAACATAAAAATCTTTTTGTAGTTTGCAATTGTTGTAATAATGAAAAAAAACTTGACTTGGCATACAGTCAGTCCTGCAGATTTTAATACATTAGTCATGAATTATTGTAAACAATCATACTGTAAATTATACATTGTAAACTGCATCCCACCAAAATTCCTGTTTCTTTTCACAAATTATTGTAGACAAAATATTCGGGCAACAAAGCCAAAAAGCATTGGACCAAATTGAGGGGTCAAACAATGGTTTGTGAACAAAACATGAAGTGAATAGGCTTGCATAAGAATATTCTTACACTTTACAGTAATTTACAGTTGCTCGATCACAGAACATTGCCAGATGCGGAAATATACGACTGTGTTTCACTAAGGGTACACTTAGCACCTGTCAAGATTCTAGGGGGTTCAGGGGCATGCCCCAGTAGACTGTGAGCAATCCCTCTATTTTCCTTCGTTTTGTTGTTTCCTGGACTAAGGCTGAACGCGCAGAAAATGCCAGAAATATGCAGAGACGAAAGGAAAAGTAGAGGGATTGCCTCTTTAAATAATTGTCAAGCATGTTTGATTAAGCTCTGCCTACTTGTTTATACATGAAAACAGGGTCAAAAACATCTCTTGAAAGGCGCATCTCAAATGACTTCATTCGTTTTGGGTAAAACTATCAACACGTATTTAAATTCTCAATTTTCAGTCTGGCAAGTATGAATATTCATAAAACAAGGCAAAGGGTCTTAGGATCTGCAACAATATTTTGACATAGTTTATGCAATAGTTTAATAAAATATTACCAACTTACAGCTATTAACCTGAATTCCATGGTATAAGATTTACAAGGATATATATAAACTAAACCTCTGTTATATACACTAAACCTCTGTTTACAAAACTTAAAATTTAAACTTGAATGCTAAAACTATGAACTATGAATTAACACATTTAGAACTTGTGATTATGAATGTGTTCATGTATCTATTAGACTTATAATTATTGAAGAGTCAAAGGTTCTCTTTGTCCTCAGGGAATGTCCAGTATTTGAGTTCAAATCCGGCAATAGTGAGCAAGTTTATGATTTGGACCTTCAATGATTTCTATAAGCAAGTTATCACACACAGCATGGCATCTCTCTTCAAGCTTTCCAAGATTAGAAGACTTTGTTATAAGATTTCCTAGGAAATATAATTCTCATATAGACAGTGACGTTACTTCAATGGATTTAGTACTAAGCCCCAAATGTACTTTTCTCTGACCAGAATGCGAAAAACAAATGTAAACATCGAAAAAACACTGGCCAGTGCTACATGTTTTGATCAAATGCTCCACATATATTCAGCTATTCTTTAAAAAATATACGTATACAGTTTAAGGACGATTCCTGACCTTAATTCGGTCAAAATTATATAACAGTTTTTGTTTGTGGAAACACCACGTAAATTTATTACTGCAAAGCTTTCGATCTGTAAGCCCGGATCTTCATCAGTGCTAATAATATGTGACTTGTTTAATTCACACGCTCTTTTATATACAAAAGTGTCGTGATCTGTTGGCTCGCGTCATTAATTAATTAAACAGCACATCGACCACGTCATTCCAAATGTAGTGAAGTGATTCCAATTAACCATGCGCGCATCCAAGACAAGAGAAATTAATTTTGCACATTAAAGAGAGCATGCCACATACTATCTAGTGGCTTTCCCTCCTGACCTATAGTATTGTGCTTCTCAATTTCAATTGATTCTCTCATTTTGCAAGAGAACTTATCAGGGTCTGAAATTTGATTTTTTTTTAAGTATCCACATGGATACCAAGGTTTTAAAATTTGGTATCCCTCCCGATAATCTAGTATCCCAAATCGGGATACTTAACTAGTTGGCTTTTCGTATCCCAGGGCCAGACACAACATCACTTTAATGCTTACTCTTAGTTAAGCATTTCCATCCATCGCATTTTATGTTTAATATACTAGAATCCTAAAAGGAACTTCACTGATATTTAATATCAACTTCACTGATATTTAATGGTAACGTTACAGTATGCACTCAAATCTAAATTTAAAATCCATCAAAATCACTTTCATCTGAATCCGTGTTGAATAACTCAAGCATGTCATTGTTGCTAATTTGATCTTTATCTGAGACACTCGTAGTCTCAGTGTGAGAATCTGAATCACAATCTGAATCACTAGAATCAGATGCATCAGCATCATCACTGACAGAGAGATCTTCATCTGGTCCAGCAACCAGGGGTTCTTGTGACTTTTTGTGTGTTCTCCACCTCTTTTGGTTGGGACGTCGGCCTCTAATAGAACGTTTGTTCCATGCATGTATTGCTGGATCTGGGTTGAACAACTTGATATCTGCACACTCTAATGTGATTCGAATCAGGTCAGTGACAGCACTATCAGACAGCTTGTTTCTCCAGTCTGTTTTGATCGTCTTCAGAAGGGAAAAGCCACGTTCGCATTCAGCTGAATGAGCAGGAATGGTCAGAAGCAAGTCAACAAGGAGGAGGAAGTGTTCTGCATCTGGACCAAATTCAACATTGATACTTTGCCATGTCAGTTCTTTTGCAATGTTCTTACCACCATATCTGAAATGAGACAATAATATATTGAGAAATTATATATAGGTGAAATATACAGGTCAGCACAGTGAAAAACGCTTAGTTGGTCACCGTCCATAGATTTTCGTTTTAAGCTCATCCCATTCCAGCATGGCTTCTCCCACAAAGTCTTCTTCAATGACATCAGCAGAATTATACGCAGCAGACAAATATGGAAGGAAGTGTTTTAAGAGGTTATTCACATCATCGTCACCAAAACCTGAAAAATAGGTATTATTGTTAAACGTGCAAAACAATTTCGTATATTTCGAGTAAGCCGGTGGGTTACCTTGTAATTGTCTGACCGGCCAGTTGCGAAGATTAAGAAAGCGTATCCATTGCAAATGTTTTTGCTTATCATTCAATGCAAATCTTTTGTTGAGAGCTGAGACCAGAAGGTCAATAACATTTTTGAATCTTGCAATGGTTTCATCAATTGCTGGATCTACATCCTCGCCTTCATCTTCGGATGATATTGAAATTCCATGGAAAACTTTGGTTTTCAGGAATTCTGATAACTTATTACCAGGAATAGGGGAAGGAAAAAGTTAATAAGTTTAATTTAATAGGCAATATTTTTTGTATAAATGATTATTGTAGCAAGACAATAGTTGTATAATTGTGTACAAATAGATGTGCAAAACATTGTGCAAAAACAGAACTTACTTTTGTTTCAACTTTTCCAAACTAGTGACAGCTGACTTCACTACTTCCTGGCAATCAGCTATGCTACAGCTGTTCTTTTGTAGAAACATGGATGCCTTCTTGAGGCGCATAACAATATCTGTTGTCATGGCTGTGTCTTTTAAAAATTGGGGACTCTTCATTTTCTTCAGAAATCCTTTAGCTTTTGAAGTCGCATCACTGGAATGTGAATTGATTTGCAGCTGAAAGCGAAAAAGCATTTAATATCATTATACTATCAATATTTAATTATATCATTCAATGATTACAGTCGAGGTATAATTATACAATGTTATACATGGTTAGGTGTATAAAAAATGTAGACCCTCAAATTAGCCGTAATCTATTGTAGCAATTTGATCGCTCTATTACAGCATCAGCGAATTGGCTAATTTGAATTTGAAAGGGTCTACATTTTTTTGATACACCCTGTACTTAATTCATAAACCAAAGGCCAATAAATAAATAATACCTCGCCAAAGTGCTGCAACAAGGCTGGAACGAGCTTCCAAAAATTGGTCAAAGCCAAATAAAGATGAGGTACCCAACGCGTTCCACCGACTCTTGTAGGTATACCTGTAACTACATGCGCTTTTGCAGACACACGTAACATGCTGCGGTTGAACGAACTATTGTGATAAAACTTGTAGACGTTTTCCAAAAAGCGAGTGATTTCAAACCAACTGTTATTTAAGCCAATTACATCATTAAAAGAAAGCTCCAGACGGTGTGCCATGCAATGGACAGATGTGAGTAGTGGTTGCTTCTCTGTTAGCCTTGCTCCAATTCCATGCTTAGATCCCGTATTAACACTGGCACCATCTGCTCCAAATCCAACCATTTTCTCGTACACTGCGTCACCTTTCAGCTCTCCGTATTCTTGCAGAGCCGATTCTAGCTCTTTCGTGATATTCTCTGCAGTAGCACGCTCGACATTTTTGAGACGTAAGAACTTGTTGTTGATCAAACCGTTCTCAGCATATCTAAAAAGCGTAAGTAAAACACCAACCATTTAAAAACATGTATTCACAGTTCTGGAAATACAGCAGCAATGACCATTTATGAAAAATGAACTCAACTGTTTTTTTACGCTTACATCACATACATAATTTCAGCTTCAGATATGGAGGAGTCTGTTGTTCCATCAGTCATTACACTATAGAACAGAACGCGGGCAAGGTCTGTTGCCAATTTCATTCGCTCAGCTTCAGCAATAAACGATATAAAGTTGTGGCACTGTTTGCTATTTCTGTACGTATGTCCTAGCGATATATTGTGCGCAGCTTCGTGAAGGTCCAAAGACCACGGAAAGTCTTCAAAGGGACGACCTTTTTTTGCCAACGAGTGAGCAATTCGAAATAAGACTCGCATCTTTTCAAATTCTTTTTCATTCATTTTTTGAATCATTGTCTCTGCAGGGGTTGAGCCGGGTGTTGAATTTTTGGCCTTATTGTGACGAACGCATTTTTGGTGGGCTGCACTTTTATCATGAGTCTGTAGGCTTTTTATGTGCAAGTTTCCACATCCACCTTTTACAAACTTTGAATCCTTGTCGCACAATGTTGGATATAGCATACAAATATCACAAAACATTTTTGATTTGTCGTCGGACAGCTTTACCCATGGAAAAGACTTCTTCCAGTTAGCAGAGAATTTTCGGCACCGTTTTTCACTTTCGTACTTTCGTTTGACTTCAGCGCTCCGCTTTTCTCTTCGGTCTTTTTTTGCATTGCGAACTACGGGAACTACAATGTCATCATTATTATCATCATTGGCCATATCATCATCAAGACCATTGCCTGTATCATCATCAGGAGTTTTGGTGGTTTTAATTAAATATTTTAACATAATTGATAATATCACAAGAAAAGCATGAATTATTTATGATATTTTAGTTCATGACGGCAAGCAAAAAAAAATGTATTTCCACTTTGCTAACTATCGACCTTCAAATTTCCTTACAATCTTCTTGACTTTTCTTGACTTCAAAAAAATTATTTTAAAGACTAAATCTGGACAGTTGTTTCAATGTGGAAACACTATTCAAAATGGCGACTCGCGAATTCAACCATGAGTGGACTACATAAATACAACGTTATGACGAATGCTAGACTTGTGTTACAGCACTATTTAATGAACAAAAATGTGGGGAGACTACTAAAACATTAACTGCTATCCCGATTTTTTAAAAAATGTGGTATCCCAACGGGATACAAGTAAAATAAACTTAGTATCCAAAACCAAATTTCAGTATCCCGTGGATATCGGGATACCGCAAATTTCAGACCCTGCTTATGATTATCTATCGCCAAAATGGTTGCTTCATCCCATTTTATACGATGATCGTAAGTCCAAGTATGTTTAGCCACAGCAGATTTATCTTGCTCGGCTTTTTCGCAATTCGTCTTGTGTTTCTTAAGACATACCGAGACATTTCAACCAGTTTCACAAATGTGAACCAAACCACATTAACAAGGAATGTGGTACACACCAAGTTTCTGATATTCATTAACGTTGTGGTTATGTGTGCAAAGAGCTTGAAACAATTTGTTTTCGCTGGAATGGTATACCTTTATAATTGCTTCATTCTTCAAAATTCTTTCGATTTTGTGTGAAGCCGGACCAGTGTATGGTAGACAAACAGACGACTGATATTCAATTTTCTACTTTGTGGTGTTTTCATAGCATTGTCTATGACATTTTGTGGGTAACCATTCATTTTTAGAACATTTCTTAAATGTTCTAATTCCTCATCAATGTTACTTACCTCACAAATTGTTTTTGCTCGGTTGATGAGTGTCTTACACACAGAGTTTTTAATACTAGGATGATGAAATTAATTATAATCAGATGTATGTGTGTGTTGGTTTCCTATAAACCTTATGTCCTAGCGTCATCATGTATAGTGAAAAGAACATCCAAGAATGGTATAGTTTTATCCTTCTGTACTTCAAAAGTAAACTTGATCGATGGATGCAAACTATTAATGTGGTCTAAAAACTTTTGTAAATTATCTAGTCAATGAGACCAGCTACTCAATGTATCATCCACGTATCTGAACCAGAAACCAGGTTTCAACGTTGCAGTAGCTAAGGCTTTCTTTTCAAATTCCTTCATGAACAAATTAGCCATAACAGGCAACAATGGACTTCCCATTGGAGCACTCTTTGTTTGTTCATAGAATTTCTCCTGCCATTGAAAACATGTCGTGGTTAAACAATGCTTCAACAAATCATGAACATTCTCAGGAGAAAGATTAGTTCTTTGAGATAATGTAATATCTGAAAGAAGCCCTTCTTTGCAATATTACAAACCTCTTCAACTGGAACATTTGTGAAGAAGCGAACTACGTCAAAACTTACCAGAATGTTATTCTTACCCAATCTAATTTGTTCCATTTTTGTTACAAATTCTTTAGAATTTACTACATGATGTTATGTTTTTCCAACAACTGGTTTCAATATCTCAGCGAGATATTTAGCCAGGGCATACGTTGGCGAACCTATGGACGCTACAATTGGTCTTAGTGGGACATTAGGTTTATGTATCTTAGATAAACCATAAAATTTTGGTCTCAAACGACCATGAAGTGTTTGAGACAAAATACCTGCCTTTTTAAAACCAGATAGTTTGGAACATATTTTACATTCAATGTTAGCTGTTGGGTCTCTTAAGCTCTTTATAAGTTGAAGTGTTTAAAAGAGCCAAGATTTTATCATATTCTAGACGACCTAAAATAACCGTAGCGTTACCCTTATCAGCCTTTAAAATATGTATTGACTTATCTGCTCTTAAGTTTCTCAATACATCCTTCTTATTCTTGGTTAAATTCGAAGCTGGAAGCGTTGCACATTGTAGAACCTCTGATTTGGACGCAGATGTTACTAGCTGCATCGTTCATCAAGTGGTATAATTTCAGTTCCAAACGTTGTACAAATTCTTCTTTAGGAAGAACACTAGGTGCCACAGCAAAATTTAATCCAAGAGCCAAGGCAGCTTCTTCAACCGGCATAAGTCTTCTAGCACTCATATTGATAACGGTGTGCTGTAGTGGATGACTGGCCAAATTGGTCAAAATAGTTTTTATAAATGTTGTAAATGTAATGAAATTTTTGACAGACAATTACAAATTCTAGTTGCTAAAAAACAATTTTGACTCAAGAGCATTTTTCAAGCATGTCCATGCTGTAAAACGATAGGAAAATAAATAATTTTACTTAGTTTACCTTCTGTTGTCTTGTCGAGTAGAAAATCATCTATTGCAATCGGAAACTAAAAAGGTTTTTTCCAGCTTTTATCATGTCATTTTAGTAGTTTGTCAGCCATGCTTAGTAAGTAACATGCATAACTGATCTCAAATGTTCTTCACAACTGGAATTTCATTACCATAAACCATCAAACAAAGTCCTCAGGAAAATATTTTTCCAGTACGGTCTAGATCTTAACATTCATAGTTGTAAGCTAACTGGAGATGTTCCCCATGATGTGAGAGAAGAACAGATACACAACATAGAAGATTTCAAGATTATTTTTACTACTCCTGAATACTTAGAGGCCAGTGAACCACTTCAAGTTAAAGTTGATGAACACTGGTGTTGGTCAACTTGAGCGAATACTGTTTGACAAAGCATACACCATATCGAGTTGAGGAAATATCTTTAGACCGAGTTATAAACATGTATGTAAGAATGAATTACGGTCGTTTCACCAACGGGTCGTTTCCCCAACGGTCAGTTTGCCAACGTCTTGAGTCGATTCGCCAACGTATATAAAGACATATAAACTGTATGGCACTTATGGACAGCAGGTATTTTTTATATTTTTATTTCTATCTGTGGAGCCAACTGTAATTTGTTAGTTTGTAAAATTCTGTAATTACTAATTAGTTAAGTGTATCATATATGTAAATCCTGATAAGTTCACCGTGGGAAAATAAAGAAATCTTCTATTCCTTTCTATTGGGCTATTCCATTTAAAAGACGTAACTCCCCTATCGAGGACAAGGGTTTTACCATATCCCTGAAGAATTCCTGACATAAAAGACATCCCCGAAGAATTCCTGTTAAATAGCATTTACCCCTGAAGAAATCAGCATTTACCCCTGAAGAATTTCAATTTTTACATCAGGAAATCTCATTCAAAATAACCAACCCTGAAGAATTCCACAGAATTTGTTCACCCATGAGGAATTCCAGGGTTAAAAATTACCTTACCCCAGCAGAATTCCAAGGTCCAGAATTCCAAGGGGGGTAATGGATATTAAATGGAGTAGCCCAATTTCTAAATGTATTCTGTACAGCACGAATACTGTTATCTTACTAGCCAGGAATTATGTCTTTGAACCACATCATGTATAGATTTATTTCATCACAGGGAGGTCGGTTTTTATTTCATTACAGGGAGGCTGGTTTTCAGCCTGATTTCTTGGTAAGTCAAATACAAAATAAGTACAAAATTTATTTACTCATATTTATTTACAAAATTTATATGTTTACATGTTAATGGAGCTTTAATATAGAATGATATTATATTTACACTGATCATAAAGAGCACTCACAAGGTGTCCATGTCTATGTGAAAGGATGTATACTGAAATGGTAATTAGTTCCTTCAACTATGTGAGCAACTGTATAGATCACTGTATTTTATACAGCTAATTCAAACTAGGGATCCAAGGATAGTGTGAAGTTTCAAATTGAAAAAGACACTGCAAGAACTATATAGGGTTGCCGACAACCTAGAAAGACTGATTGCTTACACTACGAAATAAACAGTTACCAAAGGCATTTCATCTCATTACAGTATCTACTTTATAATGCGTTCGGCACATGAGTAGCACCACGTTTGAAACAAGCCTAACAGATCAGAAACGTGTCTCGTGGAACTGATACAATTTATTTATTAACTGTGATGCTACACGCGACAACTTGAAATTTAAATTGTTTCACCAACACCCAAATTTTGCATATTCTAAAACTTCATGTGCATTTGCAGCTGTCGCTAAAAGCATCCTAACGAGGCTACTGATACGCTGAACTTATTTAATATGATTATTCCCAACACCCAAATATAGCTGTATAAGATATGTTATGAATAATAAGCACTACGACATTGTATCATTAAAAGAACGCATTTTATCCCCATCCGTTCTATATATTATCCCCATATGAGTTCCGTGGATCCGCTCCATCCGCTTCCGCATTTTAACCTAATTGTGGCATGCTTCACAATAACAAGTCTGATTGACCTTTGACTTTATATTCCCAATAGCAATGTCACATTGCGTGTCATGAGTCATTTTCAGCTTTTCGCATGTATTCAATAATGTCACTTTAGATTTCAATAGTTTCACAGTTATAGCAGTGTTTATAGCAGTTTTAACAAGCTTTGATACGGCTCTGTGTACAGATTGATTCTCGTAAGATCTGGTAGAGTTATCGTTGCACTGAACACAAGTTTGCACTGTTGACGTTGTGCTAGACAGTAAACAAAGTAAGTCCTTGACGGTACACGTTGTCTACCTCCTTGCTTTTTTCTTCTATTGCATAAAGCTTGTTGGCAAGCCAAGCGATTGGCGATAACACGTTGGCTATAACTCGATCCTCGTCTTTCTTGTTTAAATAAAGAGCTTTGCAGACTCAACTGATTTCTTTTAGTCTCGATCACAACTCACAAGTTATTTTTGTCGTAAATGCCGTATAAACACCCGCTTCTGTTTAATAGTTGTTTACGCTTTGTCTGATGCAAATTTCGCTCTTTGTACTAAGTGTAGCCATCTATTCTGTGGTGAAGCACCTTATACAGCCAATGTGGCCAATGTATAATGAATACATTGCCTAAACAATATA